CCAACCCTAAATATGCCATGCATGTCTCTGTTGACAAGTTTCCCCTTGAACCCACTTGTTTTAGTCAGGCTGTGAAGTCTCATGAATGGCGGAGTGCTATGGTACAGGAGTTTAATGCACTGCAACAATGTGGGTCATGGACCTTGGTTCCGTTTCATCCTAGCATGAACTTGCTTCCAAATAAGTGGGTCTTTAAGCTGAAGCGTCGTGCAGATGGCACGATTGAACGCCATAAGGCGCGTCTGGTGGCAAATGGGTTTCATCAGAAGGCTGGTGTGGATTACACCGAAACCTTCAGTCCTGTTGTAAAGCACACCACTATTCGACTGGTTCTCAGTCTTGCTGTCTCCAAAGGTTGGCCTGTTAGGCAGCTTGATGTTCAAAATGCTTTTTTGCATGGTTTTTTACGTGAAGCAGTATATATGAGACAGCCTTCAGGGTTTATTGACAAGCAATTTCCTTCTCATGTCTGTAAGCTTCAGCGCAGTATTTATGGTCTTAAGCAGGCACCAAGGGCGTGGTTTGAGAGATTCTCGGATTTCTTGCTTCAACTTGGTTTTCAGGAATCAACTTGTGATTATAGTTTGTTTGTTTATAATCACTCCGGTGTTTACTTAATCCTTCTAATCTATGTGGATGATATTTTAATCACTGGCAACAGTACTCATGAAATGTCTCGGTTGATTAAGAGGCTCGGCACCTTGTTCTCGATGAAGGATTTAGGACCCCTTAATTATTTTTTGGGTGTGGAAGTAAAGTATGATGGCACGACTATGCATCTCTGCCAAGCAAAATATGCGTTGGACTTGTTGTCCCGTACCAAGTTCACAGAGGCCAAACCAATTTCCACACCTGCTGTCTCTGGTCAGAAACTCAGTGCACATGTTGGTGATCCGTTCGACAACCCAGAACTTTATCGTAGTGTGGTTGGGGCCCTACAATATCTCACAATTACTCGTCTTGACTTATCATATGCTGTAAACCAAGTCTGCCAGTTTATGCATGCCCCCACTACTCTTCACTGGATGGCGGTGAAACGGATTCTTCGTTATTTGAAGGCCACGCCTAGTCATGGTCTTCTGTACAAACCAGGATCTGCGCAACTTTCAGCATATTCCGATGCGGACTATGCCGGGAATCCTGACACTCGCCACTCTACTGGGGGATTTTGTGTTTATCTGGGATCCAATCTTGTTTCTTGGAGCTCCAAGAAGCAGAAAACTGTGTCTCGATCGAGTGCTGAGGCCGAGTACCGGCAGTTAGCCTACACAGCAGCCGAGCTTTCATGGTTACGATCTTTGTTCAAAGACCTGCATTTGTATCTTGTGTGTCCACAGATTTGGTGTGACAATGTCTCTTCCATTTCCCTTGCTTCGAATCCTTTGTTTCATTCACGGACAAAGCATTTGGAAGTTGATTATCACTATGTTCGAGAGAAGGTTGTTCGTCGAGAATTGCTTGTTAATTATATTTGCTCGCAGGATCAGCTAGCTGATATCTTTACCAAGGGCTTGTCTTCGTCTAGATTCAAGTTATTAGTGTCCAAGCTCCCAGTGGTTCCACCCCCTGTTAGCTTGCGGGGGGGGGGGGTGTTAGACGAAGTCAAGATCCACGAGTGATTCCCGCGACTTGAGGAATCCTCTTTTAGTTCAAACTGTGATCTTTTCTGTTATCCCTAGTTGATAGGATTGTTTTAGTTTCAGATGTTTGTTGTAAGCCAAACACTGAGCATGTAATCTTCTTTCTGTTTGTATCTCCTTGTATCTAGGGTTTTCAAACTCTTATTGTAATCCTGATGCTAATATAAATACATGCATCCCATGTTTAACTGGGTATGCAGTTTTAAGTGAAAACCCTACGAGAGTAAAACTATTTTACAGGATCCTGCTTGAAAAAGAAGCCAAACACTTGCAGTCCGAAGTGCACTTCTTAGCACAATCGTTTTCTTTCACAGCAACTCCATTAGTGTACTTGCTCAAAAAATGATCGACCCTTTCAACTTTATAGTAGCGGAAACTCTTTGCATCACATGAAGTCAGCTTCTCAGGCGCACAACTCTTGCTCCAACCCAATAGTCCCTTAGAAGAAGGGCATGCAACACATTGGCTGTCCTCACAAAGGCCAAAAGTCCCATAATTTTCTGTGTCAAAAAGAGCGACGGTCACCCTCCATGTACTGAAATCCACCTTGTCGTTGTAAGTGTATAGCTCGACATTGCCATCGATTCCGAGCCTGAGGAACATTGATGTGCTGTTGTATTTAACTTGAGCTAGATAGAGGGTTCCGCTACTTGAGGAAGAGTTGGCCACTAGATACTCTAGGGTTGGGTCATAAGACCCTCATCAGGAGCACTATTTAATGTCACTTGGTTCAATGTGCCCATTGGGGAATTGCTGCTCTTATAGTACAAAGGCAACTTTTTGGGCTCGATCACCAAGCTGTAAGGTCCATCTTTGTTTTCTTTCTCAGATGCACGCCAAATAATCTTGCCCTTTGAGTTGTAAAGCATCACATGTTGCCATTCGGAAGCAACTTGAAGCCTACCACACCTTTGTCGGCGGTGTTGGTTTGCCACGCTACTTTGCCATTGGCATGGGCCAAGACGAGGTTTCCGTTAGTACCAAATGTTAGGATGGCATTTTCATCTACCGGTTTCTCCGATTGGATTCCCAAACCCACCGGAAGAATGCCTCCGAACGTCTGAAACCCATACGAAGAGCAAGAGTGAAGGCATTTGGGGTGCTGTTGTAGAAGCAAGTTGGAAGCCGGAGGCAAAGGGAGCAAGCCTACGATAGCTTGCATGATATTCAGTAATAAAAGGCCCAAATTTTCCTTCGTTGACAAACTTGAAAGTTTGATTTGCTGGAACTTGAGCGTGAGCAATGAAGGAAATAGAGAGAAGAGAAATAAGGAGAGCAATGACTACGTGGTGAAGGTTGGGGACTGCATGGTTTATGTTGTAGGTCGTCTATTTATAATTTTATATATTAATCCATGAGGGCTAACATAGTCGTTGAACGACTGTTTAATCTCTTACATAGATTGGACTGTGCATTTATGCTCAATCCCCGGGCAATGGGGCTGTCCAATCCCCCTCCCCAGCAAAAATTGCTCCAATCCTCGGGCCATGGAGATTTTTAGGTGTGGAGTTGCTCAAAGTCTTTAGATGCCAACTTTGATCAATGGAAACCGACCCTACATTTTTGTACCAACATACGATTCTGATATATGGATAAACGTTCAAAATACTTTATGAATCACCAACTGTTTGAGGGAATTGTGATCAATATATATTCAGGTTTTTCAATATCCACCGGAGTATAGTATAAGTTCAAAATTTTCATCTCTAAATCTTTGACAGTTGAATCATTACTCGCACATCCAGTCTTTTACCTATTCGGTGCATAGCATACACGAGAAAATAGTAAATTTTCTTGAAAACTATATGCAACTGCTATTTGGTCAAATATGTAGCAACTACCCGGGAGCATTTGGTGATAGACAATGTATTCCAGCTACAGGCCAGGCTCCAGCACACTGCATTAATCCATTTCTGCATGTTGTATGGTTTGAAGTTTCAACTAAGGAACACAACTAACTACTGATGCACGCATGCATGTGTTCCACCAGATAACAATTCGTTGCTCCCTAGCAACTTTGACCGTGTATGTCTAAGCAAACAAAAAGTTTAAATACCAACCACTTTCCATAAATATAAGAGATCTTATCCACACAAAATCTAGAAACTGAGATAACTGATACGTTTGGACAGTTAATATACTTTAATTTTAGCAATATGCACGAGATTCTGCGTTCAAAGAAATGATGAGATGGTCCTACTCCTACACCACGAAGTTTGTCTATGCGGCTATGAGCCTATGCCACTAGTTCATTACCACTAATTCTCAAGTCTGTAGTGGTCCAACATCATACAGTTGTCAAGAGAGTTAACTGGATTTGTTGATGAATAAAAGTTGGACCAACGAATGGTCGATGAAGGTGAACTCTATTGGCGTGCTCCGGTCAACACGTGGAAATGTTAGATAATCTGAAGGGAAAGAAAAGTATCGAAGGGCACCAGTTTGGTACTAGCCGAAGAGTCATTGATGTTTAAGCTAACTAAGAATGATTCAGAGGTTACGCGGGTATGTAGTGCTTAGGGTTGTAAACAGTAATTACCTGTACACGGTATATAGTGACTTTCCTTTTACATGGAATGATTCACTGCTATTGTAGCTTTTTAGTTCAATAACACAATGCCATGTGTAACCTTCTTTCTGCACAATATTACATTATTGGATCAGAACACCACGGTGGCGATGAACCCCCCCTTCTATGTACGTTGGGGAAAACCCTCCATTTGGTTATTGGAATAGTCAATAGATGGTTGCCACGTGTCGAGGCTACCACTTATTTGGGGTTGATCATGTGAATCGGCAAGAGTGGCTTAGCAAGGATATATACTTCATTAAGTTCCTAAGTCATGGTTCTTTAGTAGGTTCCTAAGGCATGGTGCTTCCACGAGTTCCTAAGACATGGTGCTTCAACAGGTTCCTAAGTCATGGTGCTTCAGTAGGTAGTAAATACTCACTAGTTTCATGGTCGATCATAAAGGTTACAACCACCTTCACTTTTCATATGGGGAAGGTCCGTTTGATATCTAAAAACAGCTCAGACAAGTGGGGAATTTTGGGGTGGACAAAAAAAAAGTTTGGTAAATCCGGATCTAAATGTTGGCTAGGTTAGCATCCTGTAGTAAGAGGAATAGTTATGAACCCTTTAGATTATCCCCTTTTAAAAGAGGGGGGGGGGGGTGGTGAAGGGAGGCCCTAATTGGAAGAAAAAACCCGCAACTCCTTTACGTTATATAAATTTAATAGTAGACGAGAATTTAAGAAAAAAATTCTTTATATTTATAGCATTGGATAAACCTTTTTTTTTTTTTTTTTTTTTTTTTTTTTTTCCCAATATCCCATTGCATGAATAATTGATCCAGATTCTAAGAACAACAATGTCTTCGAACAAGTATGAGTAATCAAATGAAATAAAGCAGCTCAATAAGACCCCATACCTAGAGCTAACATCATATAACCCAATTGAGACATTGTAGAATAAGCTAAGAAAACAACAAAATACACACTAGATTGTCATTCCACATTCTACATTCTCCCTGTGGCCTAGTGGTTAGGTGCTTTGATGTAACCCACATGCGTGGAATTGGCAACTTTGCTTAAAGTTTTCAAATCATAAGCAATCCAACACTTTGATGTGTCTTGGTTGTAAAAGTAGCCCAAACACTTGCAATCCAACGTACACTTCTTAGCACAATCACTCTCTTTGATTGAATCTCCCTTGTGTACTTGCTCAGGAAATGATCAACCCCTTCAACTTTGTAGTAGTGGAAGCTCTTTGGATCACAAGAAGTTAGCTTCTCAGGCTCACAACTCTCACTCCAACCCAACAGTCCCTTAGACGATGGGCAAGCGACACATTGGCTGTCCTCACAAATGCCCAATTTCCCACATCGCTCCGGCAGTTGGCACCCGTTTTCCCATCTCGAATCTTTATCGAAAAGCGTGAAGGTCACCTCCCATGCACCGTAACGAACTACTTCATAGTAAGTGTGAAGCCTCAAATTTCCATCCATTTCCAGCCTAAGGAATGTTGATGTGCTGTTGTAGTTGGGTCTAGCAAGAATGACATTTCCTCCGGAGGATGAGTTTCCCGCTACATAGTCCAAGCTCAAGTCGTAAGCAAAACCCTCATGAGCATCCGGCGAACATTTCAATGTCACATGGTTCAATGAGCCCTTTTGGACGCTAATCCATTTGGAAGATGTGAAGTAAAGTGATGGTCGTGGGGAGTTCTTGCTCTTGTAGTACATAGCCAAACCTTTCGCCTCCATCACCAAACTATAAGACCCGTCTTCGTTTTCTGCCTCCGATGCTCGACTCACAAGCTTGCTTACTCCCCCGGCACGCAGAGATTGACCCACCAACAAAGTGTTTGATGGGTAGTAAAAACTTTGCCAAACAAAGTTACCCTTGGAGTCATAAAGTACCATATTGCCAGTTGAAAGCAAGTCGAAGCCTACGACACCTTTGTTGGCGGTGTTGCTTTGCCAAGCCACTCGGCCATCGGCATTGGCCAAGACAAGATTCCCATCAGTCCCAAATGTGAAGGTGGCATTTTCGCCGACAGGTTTCCCACGGTTGGCTTCCCAAACCCAATAAAACTGCGACTCCGACCGCCTCAAACCCATGCGTAGAGCAAGAGTGAAGGCATTTGGGGTGGTGTTGTAGAAAGCAAGTTGGAAGGGGGAGGCAAAAGGAGCAAGCATACGATAGCTTGCATCATATTCTGTAATGAAAGGCCCAAATTCCCCTTCATTGACGTACTTGAAAGTTTGATTTGCTGGAACTTTGCTTGAGCAATGAAAGCAAAGAGTGAGAAAATGAACATGGAGGGAAGTGACATGGTTAGTTGAGGGGAAGACATTTTTCGGTGGTTTATGCTGTAAAGCTCTGGGAGCAAATATTTATATATATTGACAAATTTATAATTTGATTTTTTTAATAAACGATATTATTTATGTTAAAGGAGAGAGGGTAGGCTTAGCCTTCCAATGAGCTAACAATAACGTGGTTCAAATTCACCTTTGGCAATAATTGAACTTAAGACCTCTCACTTACTAGTGAAAAAGAATACCACTAGATCGTAGTACTAAGTTATCTGCAATGCAAGTGATAAGCTTGTCTGGACGCCAAGCTTGACTTGTGCTTGCCCTCGCAATGCAAGAAGATATGTCTTACATTAGCACATGTGGAGTGACTCAGCAAACAGGATATAATTTTGTTCTGCATCTTAAAGTTGTCCCCCCAGCCTACCTTCATTGACTTGTCATCTAGTACCTTCTCTCCCTGAAGGTATATGCCCTACACATTTAGAGCATCCAAGTGGCATCAATTACAAGTTATTTTCGCACTCATCTTTCTCATCCTATATTCTCTCTTTTCTAGGCCTTGAATAAATCATACAAGAATCAAGAGATGTAAACAAGAAGCAGAATGCAGTAGGAAATAGGAGTGTGAAAATTACCATCTATTTTAAATGATGTGATAACGTTTTATTTAACGAGTACATTTGGTGATCCTGACCTTATTGATATATTCTTAGTAGAATTACCTTATATAATCCTCCACAAGAACGAGTAGCAAATATCACTAAATGGCAAGTAAGACTTCACATTCAGCTGTTTTCCTTTTCTCCTTCATTGCCATCCTCTTTGCCATTCCCATTCAAGCCCAAGTCCCTACAAACCAAACCTTCAAATTCATCAACCAAGGCGAATTGGGAGGCGGAATCGTAGAATACCATGCTACCTACCGCGTGATCCAAACAAATTCCCACACCTTCGATACACATCCTTTCGGGTTATGCTTCTACAACACCACCCCACATTCTTACATATTCGCTATCAGAGCCGGTGTTCCCAAGGATGAAGTGCGGTGGGTCTGGGATGCAAACCGGAACCACCCGGTTCGCGAGAAAGCCACTCTCTCTTTTGGTAGAGAGGGAAACTTAGTCCTCGGAGAAGCAGATGGGACTGTTGTTTGGCAAACCAACACAGCCAACAAAGGTGTCACGGGCATCAAGTTACTTGGAAACGGTAACTTGGTTCTCCATGACAAGAATGGAAGATTCATATGGCAAAGCTTTGATTACCCTACTGATACTCTTCTACTGGGGCAATCCGTCACAACTAATGGCCGTAACAAGCTTGTTAGTCGTAAATCCGATATCGATGGCTCTGATGGGCCATACAGTATTGTTCTGGACCACACTGGGTTCACTATGTCCTTGAACAATAATGGCCAGCGTCTTATCTACGGCGGGTGGACAGGAACCGACTACGGAAGCACTGTAACCTTTGATTTTGACATTATGAATGGTTTCGATGATGGCATTGCTTATGAGCTTGTGCTCACTGTAAACCAGGACATTAATGCTCCACCACCACCACCACAAAGCCGTAGGCACCTCCTACAAGTTCGTCCCATTGGCAACGGACAACAAATCAACCTTAACAAGCTCAACTACAATGCTACATACACATTTCTAAGACTCGGGTCTGATGGCAATCTCAAGGCCTATACTTACTATGACAAAGTGAGAAACATGAAATGGGAAGAGAGCTTTGCATTCTTTTCGAGCTATTTCATTAGAGAATGTGCATTGCCATCTAAATGTGGTTCGTATGGGTACTGTAGTAGGGGCATGTGTGTGGGGTGCCCCAGCCCGAAGGGGCTTCTGGGTTGGAGCAAGGGCTGTGCAGCACCAAAGTTGGGACAGTGTAAGAGTGGGGCAAAAGCGAGCTACTACAAGGTTGCGGATGTGGAGCACTTTCTGAGCCCTTATTTGGATGGGGGAGATGGTCCAATGAAGGTCGGAGAGTGCAAGGCCAAGTGTGATAAGGACTGTACGTGCTTAGGGTTTTTTTACAGGGAAGATACCTCTAAGTGTTTGTTGGCACCTATGCTTGGGACTCTTATAAAGGACGTGAATACTTCGGTCGGTTACATCAAATATTCAAAGTAGATATTCGATAATTTTTGTGTGTGGTTCCTTCTGTTGTTGTACTTAGTATGTTGCTTTATGTAATGGCTGGCAGAATAATCCTTTCATAAATGGAGCATAAACTACATCAGCCTTAATTTGGCAGATTAGTTGCAATGAATAACTAATTACCTGACTACGAGCATCAAATATACAGTTCTATCAGAAGAATGTAATGCTATAAAACAATGCAAAGAATGTACTGCAATTTTCTTTATTAAAACCATCATTGTTTTCTGACATAATATCAATTTAATGGTATACATGATACAGAAGCAGGGGAGAAAATGTACCAATTGTATGCGTTGAAACTGCTGAAAGCAATAAGATATCAAAGCTGCACCCACAAGCAAGGAGTAAGTGATGGGTAATCTCGTATGCACCATGATAGACAGCAGATTTCAATGTTCTCTCTTTTTCATCCAGGATCAGTCATGAACGAGGGAAATTTGCAAACTTTATGACAAGTCATGAAACTTCCCTCAGCTTTTTGTAATCTTCAAGGCTTAACAGCGAATCCTTGACTTTGAGCCAATCTGCTGGCTTTGGCATGATAATGGCAATATATCCTTCTCTATCTGCCTGGAATGGGACAAATAAGTATGAAGAATGAGCCACCAGCCTACAAAGCGCAGCACTAGTATAAAGAACTAAAACTACTATCAAAAAGTGTAAAAAAGAAGACGCTAAGTGAAAAAGAAAACGCTAATCAATACATGTGATGGCCTGATGCCCTGAGAGGGTATCTTCGGATGTAAAACTGTAGCATGGATAAGAGAAGAAGCTTGTAGTGTATTTTCAGTCCCACAAGTCGAAGTTACTTAGGAATTCTAAGCCTACATCATCACAACCGTCAATGCCAATCTTAATCAATCATAAGGTTCAGAAACCATGCCAAAACATTCAATCAATAGAAGTAGCATGCATTGACTCAGATCAAACAAAAGCTACCCAAGGTATGTTCAAACACAAAATATCTTCATGGTATTTCAGTACCAAAGGAATGCTAACCCCCCACCTCTCTCTCTCTCAACGTTATTTGCCTGAAATGTATATCATTGTTCTTGTGTTAGCATTTCTCATCCTTTTATCAAGCGCAGTATCTAGTCTGTAGGCACTAAATGATGTTTTTACATATACAAACATATGGAAGTATAGTGTCACAGTTACAGGCGTAGTACAAAAAAAGGAAATATGCTTAATCCTACCTACGTTGATTCCATTTAACAATAATGACTCCAATAATACAGATCTATACAGTAAAATCTGACAACTGCTAATAAAAGGATATTAACTGATTCTTACTGCTGAATTAAGCAAATCTGGCTGCTTGATTAACCTATCATTCACTTCCAATAGTGAGCCTTTTACACAACACCTGTCAAAAGAAACTACAACTTCAAACCTCATATATGGAAAGGAGCTAAATGCAAAATAATGAAAACCTGAAAGACAAAGAAAGCAGAGACAAAATAGGTTTCTACCTCACAATATAAGTAGCATCATTGGTGCAAACTTTACACAAAGCTGAGTTGGACTCCAAGTGTTGTGCATTCTGTGTAAGAACAATTTTCATATATTACAAAACCACAACATAAGAACTGACACCATGCCACATCAAGTTTAAGACTACACAACCTAAAATATTATATACTAAAAGAGAAAAAAGCATAGCAATTACATATGATGCAAATGAACTAGAATGATAAAAAAATCATTCAGAAAATTAAAAGAATAAACAAATAAATTCTACAAGCTACTAGCTCAGAGAGAGAGAGAGAGAGAGAATTTAATTTCCCTTTTTGGAATTAGAGAAAGGAAAGATACCTTCTTGCGTTTTCCAGTAACCTTTATCTCACTGCGATCAGATTTCCCAACATTGAAATCAACGGCCGTGATACCCCCTTCTTCCTTAAGAGCCACATGTGTTGGAGCCAAGCCAATCACACACAATCTTGCACATAAAAGTACGATTTAAAGAACAATCAAACTCACTGTTGATATGAAACAAAACGAAAAAGGTTGGCCTTTGTACCCATTGGCATGGCGATAAATGTAGTGGTCATGTCCTGGCTTCATAAAATCTGGAGACAAAACAGATGTTTTAGCATTAGACAAACAGTTGTGCTATTTTCTTATTAGAAAATCAAATGAACACATTAGGAAGAACCTGGAGCAAAATAAGAGACAAAGTTGGATTCAACAGAAGAGGGAGGGATGAGAGGCAGATCTTCAGCATTGGGTACAAGAAGCCTACGCAGCTCGGGGTCTTCTATTTCATGTTCCTTTTGTTCTTGTGCATTGTTTGTTTCATCACCAATGTATTCGTTCATTGCAATCTAGCATGGCGAAGAAAAAATGAGACTTCGAATTTTGTACAATTGAAATAGAAGATTAAGAGATTCTGGCATCTGCCTAACTATCCTAATGTTGAAGCAATGTTTCAATTATGGACTTGGGAACATGAACATCATCGCCAAGCCAGGTGTATCCGAGTCTTTGACCTGACTAATCACTAGACCACCCCCCTGACCCCACAACATTTGGTGAGCGAGAAACTCTAACATTTGCTAGGTGGGTACCGTGGGAGAGAGTCGAACGCCAGACCACTTGGGAGCAAACCAAGTACCTGACCGCTAGACCAACAACTCTTAGGTCTTTATCACTATCAGATTACGATTAATAATAACAGAATTATTCATCTTATGTTCTAAAAAGGAGAGATACCTCTAGTATCATTATCCAGTACTAGGGTAGATTTAATTTTCCTTTTTACTCATGATTTCTTCTTCAAAAGCACGGATACTTTAAAAATGCCAATGCAAATAGATAAATTAAAAAAATAATTAATTAAGAAAAACTGTATTAGCTGCTGAATTGAGGCGAAAGTTAGCAAG